CATATTTGTCATTTTTCATATTAAAGTAAAATATTACTCCCTCCGTATCATATTAAAAGAATTTTTAGAGAGATTTTTTGTATCAAATTAGATGATATTTTAAGTTTTCAAAGTAAAATTAATTATGTTTTTGACTCTTTAAATTCTGTAGATTAGTTTTCTATTGGTTAAATTGTATTGGAATTGGTGGTTTTATGTTGAAAAATAGAAAATTAAAGGGGCAATTACAAAAATGCCACTTTTTGTGTGCACATTTGCAAGAATGCCATTTAGGGGTGCCTATTTGCAAAAATGCCACTAATTATAGATTTATAAAGTCTATATCTTAAAATTCTAAACCCTAAAAAATGTTTTGATCCCTAAAATCTCCTAAACCATCATAACTAAACCCTAATAGAACATAATTAACCATATAAAGAAAAAATAATTTTGAAAAAGTGGTATTTTTGTAAAAATTTTAAAAATGTGGCATTTTTGTAAAGTGCCATTTGAAAAGTGGATTTTTTGAAATTTCTCAAAATTAAATAATTTTTTGAATTATGTGTAGAAATCTTAAAAATCATTTTAAAATGATATAGAGGAGTACCATTTTGGGTTTTGTGCTTTTTTGGGTAAAATGGAAAAAGGGACGCAAAAGTCCGGTAAAAACAGCTCTTTAATCATCTTATAATTTACGACTCGACAATCCTTTTATTTTATTATAATCAACGATGTGTAGTTAACATTTATTCATATTTTATCCATATAAATGATCATATACTAGCATACTGCTTGAATGATTGAAGAAAATTTTGTGATTTCATTTCAACCAAATGTATACATTTAATTTAAGGAATTGTTTATGGAAGCTGACGTCAAAATTACCTGCCGACAAATTACTTTATTGTGTGATTAACGATATAAAGAAAGCCCAAAATGGGCCCATAAATAAAATGTGGTTTCATCAGTGACCATTTCCACCGAGTCACCGACAATTTTGCTAATGATCTCTCTCTCAAGCAATGAAGCTTAGTGTGTGCTTTCGCATGTCTAAAGAAGTAAAGATTCTAATGATAATCAACAAAATTATTAAAATACTATGAACGTGGTCTTAGGTGAGGATTTTGTTGATATTTAAAAGTCAAAATTATCAGTAAAATGTATTATAATAAAGAGAAATAAAGGGAGCAGGTTATTTTATTACGCGAAACCCAAGAATAAGGGAGCAGGTTAGTACTATTTGTTTTCTAATTAGAAATATAATTATTATTTAACAAAATTGATTATGTACTAATATTAATTTATCAAATGTAGAAATATGTATTGGATATTAACAAATAC